CATGTGCCAACTCTCTCAGATAAGGAGTTGTTTGTCACATACCACAGCGGAGCCAGCACCATCTCGTAATGGCGACCATAGTCTGCAGAAACGGCAGAAGCGGCTCACCACAAAACCCCAGTATCATAAAAAAAAAGAAGAAGAAGGGCCATGTGGATGTCAGAGGTGGAGAGAGCAGTTCACCTGGTAGCAGCATCCTTAAAAGAAAATAAATTATGCCCTCTGCACTGGAACATTTCTAGGAGTTCCCATCTCAAGTCTCACAATGCCCACTGCTGCACACAGGACAGATGGCACCCAAAGTGCATCATTAGTTCATGCAGAATTACCAATTATGAACCCTTAGTATATGGCAGTCTTTTTGACAAGTGTCTTTTAAGACCCTTTGGGCAGACATTTGCAATAACCCAACAATAGCTTTATGCTTGTACATAAACTGTTCCCCTGTATTCTGATGAAGGAACCATCATTCAGAGATTAAGAGATCTCGCCTATGTTCCCCAAGGAGAGAAAGCTGATCAAGAGTACTGCCAGGAGACTCAGAGCTGTCCTTTCATCCCCTCCATCCCTTGCCTCCCCACCCATCTTCTCCTCCCTTCCTCATCCGAGGCCTCATGGACCCTCTTGTCAGAAGTCTCTCTTCCTTTTTCAAGTGCACTATTCTCCCTCAGTTCTGTGGCAGGGAAAGGGATATTTTCTCTGCTTCTTCCATGGCATCTTACCAACAAGAACTTCTGGAACTATGAGGAGTCTGTGTATTAGTCAAATGAAAGGTCATCCTAACAGCTGACTGTTCTGCTTAGAGGGTTTTATGTGTCAGGTTCCTGGCCCTGGTTCTCAGTAACACAAACGGGATGACTCCCTGTAGAATTAAGCCAACTCTGTGATGAGTGTCAATACTTCTCTAGCTGTCTCTCTTGGTTAATGCTATCTGTGAGAACCTAGGGCTGGGAGGATGACCTTAGCTCTGAAAGACTAGAAACACAATTACCAATGCTTTAAGAACTTTCGTCCAATCTGTGTGAGATGAGCCAGACTTTGTTTCTAGTCCTTCTGGTGCTGGAAGAAAGTGACACTGACAGAGAAGGAGTTTGTATCTTACTTCCCACCTGTGTGTGTCTGTGAGATGTGTACCACTGTTGTCCCATGACTAACAATAATAGCCACATCCTTGGCTTCTGCTGTGTTGACAGACAGGGTGGCTATTGTCCCCTACTTAGAGTCAACATATCTCTCAGGTATCTCTGAGGGCTGCTCACTCTGTATATCATTTAAGCTCGGGTCTGATCTGGCTTAAGCTAGTTCCAGTGAATGTATTCTTTGGGCAGTGCATCTCCAGAGAAGGGAATTATGGCTGTCTGTTCCAGGACCACTGAAACTGAAGACATTTATGTGAGCACTTAGGAGGCCAAAGATCCTGCAAGAGAGGAGACAGGGTCTCGGGATGAAGGATCCATTCTAAGTAGCCCCACTTAGACTATGTCTGGGTTGAGCATAGTATTTGAATCAGACTCAGCTTAGTGCATTTTGAGGGCTGCTCCTAGGAACAAGACACAGGCAGATCCCTTATACAGAGAAGGTAAAAAAAGATTGGGATTTAGATGTATGTAATGTCCCAAATCTTTGTGTTTTGAAATCTACAGCCAGCTGATCTCACCAAGGTCTCTCTGAGGTCCTTTGGTACAGTAAGTGTTTGGTTATTATGAAAATTCTTTCTTCACTGAGTGTTTGTGGTTAAAATTCTAACCAGCTATTTGGGTAGTACAGAAGAATAAAGAGGAAAGAGAGCCCCAACTCCCCCCCAGCTGTTCATGGCAGAAATTCAGCCTTACACACCAAGGCCACCTACCACAGTAACCTTCCATATTTTGACCAGTAACCATCTTCCTATTTTCTTTGTGCTATGGTTTGTCTGGTCCCAGCTAAGCAGAGCTATTTGCCTTCCAGGATCCTGGACATGGGCTGATCTGGAACCCTCTGAGGCTGTTGAGGCCACATGACAGCAGAAGGTCAACCACTGATCCATGACTTCCCCCTCCTCTCCTCTCTTTGACTCTAGAAACTGTTTGGCTCATTCCTGGTCATTTCATTAGAATATAGCACTTTGTTATTAGAAATCTTGCTAAATCATTTCATATAACACATTGTGTTTGGTTAAGAACCATCTGAATATGTGGACTTATCACAAACTTACAGTCTCATTTCAACATGGTATTCTCTCTTTCCTATGACACCCCCCTTCCACAATAGACTAGCAACTGGCATCAAAAAATTATTCTTACTTTTTTCTCTTTGCAAAATGATTTACCTAACCTTGTTACTAGTTCCAGAAGCCAGAATTGTTTGAGAAAAAAACTGAAATCCCCAGGGTGTCTTTAAAGGTTGTGGGAGTCACAGTTATACATGGATGATCTCTGGAGGGTGAGTGGATAAGGGTCCCTCCAGCAAAGAGGATCATTTCACTTATCCAAAGGGTCATACCTAAGGCCCCAAGGCACATGAGATTCCAGAGAACTCTGCAGAGTCTTCTCAAAGAGGTTGTTCATGCTCCATCCAAGGAAGGAGCCCAAGTGTTCCTTTCCGCACATGTACCTGAACATGATCACAGAGCCTTAAAGGATAATGTGAGTGGACATGGGAGGAGAGGCCAAGGATGAGTCAGAAGGCATCTCTGAAAGTTCCCAGCATGGAGGGGTAGGTAATACCTGGGACAACATATGGATAGTGAACTTTGTCACCATAAGATTAGGCAGGGAACCCATGGAGCCATATGGAAGGAAGGACATGGGTGTAGAAGCCCCATGTTTACACTGAGCTCCCTTCTGAGGTACCTGGATCTCATCTTGGTCTCTTTAGTGATTTTTGGCCCTAATGGCTGATACCTAGGGACAAATTCCTCCACTTCCTTACTCAGATGAGTTCTGTACTCTATCCTGGGCTCATTTAAATGAGATTCTGACCCTCAGACTGTGGTCATAGTAGCCCAGGGCATAGGATGGACTCTCCTGACTTCCAAATCAATGCCTGATCGTTGCTTTCCTCTCCTGGATCCCCATGCTGGCCTCCCTCTTGGTGTCTTCTGGACAGTTCTAGCCTCTGTCTTAGCAGCACCTCTGCTGCCATCTGTTGGTAGAGGAGACCAAGAAATGATGCTTCTCTCCAGATGACACCAAAAGCCTCTGTCACCTGCAATTTTGTGGACAGAGTGTTGCCTCACTCTGTGCCAGCTGTACCCTGCTCAGCACAGCACAGCACAGATAGGCAGCATTTGTGTTGTGCAGGGAGGTAGGCTGGTGTATTCCTGTAACTGAGTCACAGTATGAAAAGCTGTCTCTGGGCCTTGTATTGTGATAGGAAAATAGAGCTTACAGAATAAACTTGTAGATGTTCTGTAAAGTGCCCTTTCCAGAAAAACTTCTGTGACACGCTTCAGGGACATTTAGTGCCTTTATATTACACATAAGAATCAAGACTGATGCTTTTCCCTGATCTGATAGCAATAGTAGCAATGTCATCAGAACTCCTGATGCTCTAGCACCACAGCCCAACTATGTTTATATCACCAACACCATCAACATCTTTCTCCTTCTCCTCCTCATTATCACCTCTGTTAAAACTATTATTACATGAACCACTTTTACAGTGCAATTTGGAGGACTTGCTCATCAGCCCAGTATGCTTTCACTTTCTAACTGGGAACTTCCTTTTCTGTTCTCTGCACAAGAAGCCTGCTCCCACCACCCAGAAAAATGAATATTTGAAGATTTTCCATATTTCCAAAGAATCATTTGCCCTGAAGAACAGTAATCCAAGGATAGTGTCCCTCTGTGAAATCCAGGCTGGGTCTCTTTTAATTAATGAGACACTTTTTGTTATTGTGTCATTTAATTTGGATAAAAAAATAAAGCTCCATTCAAGTCTTCCCATTTCAAAGTAGATATAGTTGAGATCCAGGAAGACTTAATTGCTAGGATAACAGAGAAGAGTATTTTAAAGTTGTGGAAAATGACCCAGATATCCTACACTTAGGTCTGGGTCTCTATGGAGGAGAATTTGGCCAGGTCACCTGGGGAGAGGTGAGGGCATGAAGGCCAATCTAGGAGGCAAACTTTGTGTCCCACACAGCTCAATGCTCACTCCTCCATGGCCTGGCCAGCACCATGAGCCTAAATCAGCCTGCAGGTGATGGTGTCCATGGGTCTGTGCCCAGATTACAACTGTCAAACATGGGAAATGAGAAAGCTTCTATGCTGGGCATGGCTGATCCAGCTCCTGCTGATTCTCTATGTTCTCTTGCCTTCTCCCCTGTTTCGTGAATAGTGGCTGACATGGTTTTCATGGCCACCTCTTCCGGGGTAATCTGATTCTCATAAGAACCCAGAAAATGTAGTTTCAGGAGACAGAAATCTCATTCTAAGATGCTCACCACTATTTGCTTCCATGCCTTGAGATCAGGGTCAGGCCAGGCTCAGAATCCTGTGGGAATGAGTCTAGGGACAGGGTCTTGGCTTGTCACATTTGTAGTAGGAGCAGC